CTCTTTCCAAGTCTTTCCCCTTCTTGAATCTCTTCTCTGGCTCCTCTCTTATCCCTTTCAAGTTTAAGCTCCATTCCCACACTTTCAAAGCTCTTGTCTGTACCTCTTGCTTTTTTATTTTCATAGTTCCTACTTTGCTCCTCCAACTGCTCCCTTTGCATCCTTCTTCTACTATTGTCTTTTTTGCAACAGCAGTTTTACTCTTTCCACATGCCGGGCATCCACTCTCCTCATCAAATCCCTCCTTTAAACATGGCACTGCTACAAAGCCCTGCAGTATAAACCCATCACACACAAAAGTGATGTCTTATGTATTACAAGGAAGAAAAACCCTGCACCACAGTGTGATCAGACTTCTTTCTGGCCACCTTCTAAGATCTAAACTGTAGTACCCATCTGTTTAGATTGTAAACTCGTTAGGGCATAGACTGTGTCTGCTAAATGTTCTGTGTTTGACCAATGAAGAGCTTCACCCTCTTTTCCACATACCTTTATATCTAAATGTGCCACTCTGCAATTATGAAGATATTGTAAGGCTTCCATTGTGTCTCTTATGTAGAAAGCTACTTTTTCCTCCATCAGTTCATCATGATTCATAAGATAATCGAAGAGCTGGCCGTCATCCATACTAAAAACAAATAAAAATCCCAGCTTGAAAAAAAAAAGTCACATGAAACATCCAGGCACAGCTGATATTTGAAAATCTAACTGCAATGACCTAAAAACAAAGGAAACTAAAATGTAAGCTCCAGTATGTAGCTAATTATATCTAAAGATAATGGCAAGCCATGAAAACGGCATCATGATTTTTTTCCTCAACCATTAATTTATCAACAGTCTTTGAAAAATCTAAAGCAGCCTCCAAATACTGTAATTTGCTCAAAGACTGATCCAACATATGGTGCCAGTTTTCTCTGAAAACAGATACACTTATTTATTTGGAATGGTCTATTTGGGTATGTCTACACTACCCCCCTAGTTCGAACTAGGGGGGTAGTGTAGACATACCCAAATAGACCAAAACTGGTAGACATAGATCTCATGGATAACGGAGTAAAACTTCTGAAAATTTCAAATGAAAATGGTTTCCTTTTGAAAATGTACACTCTTTAAAATATCCACTCAGGCATATTTATTTGTGTAGATAAATACACAAATAGCCCATGTGTACTTCATGGGACATCTTCTATCTAAGTAGCATTTTGCTTTAATAATAATATCACATTCTTTTAATTATTACATTTCAAAGCAGACCAGTATCATTACCTCTGTCTGACAGTGGGGAAACTGAGGCATAGGGAGGCAGTGACTTGCTTAAGGTCACCCAGCAAGCTAGTGGCAGAGCCAGGACTAAAACTCAGGTCTCTGGCGTCTTAGATCATTGCTCTGTCCACTAAGCAATATTGTCTCCAGGGGCCACCTTTCTTTTGCAGGGCCAGGGTACTTGCTGCACTACATTTGTCTTTTATAAATATATAGGCATTGGGTGAGCTTTGACAGATACATATTTGAACACATATTTGGACAGGCCATGGATAGTGTAATCCCACTATCTTCAGTTGCATGACATCAGATATGAATTTGTCCCAGTCATTCTTAGTTTCCTTCAATCCATACACAAGAGACAGAAATTGAGTACATAATGGATGCGCTACATGGCACTATAATCTAAAAGTAGGGCAGCCAGTATAATCCTAGACTTCTTAAGTCAATGGGAGTTTTGTCACTGATTTCAAGAGGCCAGGATTTCAACCAGAACCTCCCTTAAATCCTGAACCCACGAGGTACTTACAGCTCTAAAACTAAGATATAAGATGTGGGCGACTCATAGGTATCATGGATAGTTATATACTGAGGATGTTGCAAGTGCTGTAACAAAGCTGCTTCATGTGCTGCCTGCTCTCTCTTTTTCATTTTTTTACTAATGAATTTCACGGCAACGTCCTTCCTGGTGGCTTTGTGAATACATTTCTTTACTATGGAGAATCGCCCCCTGGAAGACATGATAATGAAGACAATCCATGAATAAATCATGTCTGTTTTTCAGTGCAATAACAGAGTGATTTTCAAAGTGTTATTTGATTCAGCACATTAATATTTTACAAGGAACCAGATTTGTTACTAATGAATTTCACGGCAACGTCCTTCCTGGTGGCTTTGTGAATACATTTCTTTACTATGGAGAATCGCCCCCTGGAAGACATGATAATGAAGACAATCCATGAATAAATCATGTCTGTTTTTCAGTGCAATAACAGAGTGATTTTCAAAGTGTTATTTGATTCAGCACATTAATATTTTACAAGGAACCAGATTTGTCTCACTCTGTTCTTTACCCTGGGTGTTTAGATTCACTGGGGATGAGCTAAAAGAGATAACAAATGGTGTCATTTCTCTTTGTAAAGTCATTGTGCAGTTTTCTAATGATCTCCCAATGGTTCAATTTGAAGCTGCTATTTTTTCTTTTAAATAAATAAGCACACAAATATTTTAATAAAAGCAATGTCCATTCTTAAGAAACTAAAAATAATCCCCCCCACTAATTAACAATATTTAATAATTTCACCTATTCGTTTCAGATATAAGATTAAGTGATTATGAAGGACAAAGAATAGTGAGTCACTTATACAGAGCAGGTGAGATTTCACTAAAGCCATCACAAGTGTTCCACAGTGAAAGAATGTGAAATATTCTTATCTTGTAATTAGTAAAGTAATTAGAGAATCCACTGAATTACTGAACACAGACTGGTACTAGATGAATTGCACATTGGCCTACAGAGCAAGATAAAACCCTAACCTATTAACCCCAGAAACACGGATCTCCACCACTTGACCTAAATAAGATCTCTTAGATTGTGTATAGTCTAGTCGTAGATCCCTTATCTTTCTATATTGGCCAAACTCCAGACGGTGACTTCACACAAAGTACTCTACCTTACCCATTTAGACTCTAGTTCAACAAATCATCTCTATTCAATAATGCACTTAAGTGCATGATGAACTTTAATCATAAACTTAAAATACTCTAGTAGAGTGCTGAGAATTAAGTACATCAAGATTGTCCTGCATTTTTGATGTCATAATAATCCAGCCAAACTAGAGAAGTGAGTAGATCCTAGCTAAAACTTCAAATGACAGATACAGTTTTTCATACCTAACAGGATAGCTCACATTCAGCCATTCATTTCTGAATTATACTCAGATTACATTCTTATATTGGTCTTGAAAAAGACACATTTAATACTGACATTACATGCACAATACCCTAAAAGAAAAGACATTTTAGAAAAGATAAGAAAAACACTGCATTTAGTTGACAGATATAAACCCTTCCCCCAACCTAAATCCTGGTTAGAAAGCTTCACATGGTCATTCTTTTTTTATTACACTGCTAATATTACCTCCCAATCTCATGAAATTCCATATAAACAAAGTCAAAGTTTTCTTTCCATGAAACAGTGGCACCATCAGCAGCAGTATCTTTGGAGAAAAAAAATATATTCAAGAAAGATCAAGGTTACGGAACATTTCCCAGGTAACACAAAATATGTTCTAATGATCATATCACATTAAAAAACCCAAGTAACTTAAAGGAAAAATTAACAACGAAGAGCCCGTTTTCATTTCTCTTCCCCAGGCAAAAAACTTCCAGGGGGACATTTTGTGCTGTGCCTTTAAAAGGAGCAGACCAGGAGAAGGAAAAGCTAAGGTGACCTGAAGTTACATTGGTGCCTTCCCAGTTCTGGGCTGCTCCACTGGCTGCAGGGGTCTGCACTGTAACAAAGACACCCTGGGGAACCTAACTCTCTCAGTATACGTACACTGCAGCTAGGAGTGAGCCAACCAGCCCAGGGAGACATTCACATGACTGGAGTTTGAACCAGTGCATTTAAAACAGCGGTATGTATGTGACAGGTTGGCTGGAGCATACGCTCTCAAAGCTTGGAGACTAGAAGGGCCATATTGAGTCAGACTAAAAGATCCATCTAGCCCAGGATCCTGTCTTCCAAAAGAGGCCAATGCCAGGTCTCAGAGGGAATGAACAGGTTAGGAAATCAAGTGACCCCTCCCCTATTGCCCATTCTCAGCTTCTGCCAAACACAGGATAGGGACGAAATTCTTACCCAGTCTGGGTAAGAGCCATTGGGGAACAGTGATGCAAGACAGGGAGTGCAGGATCTGCCTCAAATCCTGAGCTGTCATATTGACAGGCTCAGGGGGTAGAGTAGGAGCCAAATACCACAGCTCGTATTTAAGTGCGTGAAAACCAGAGACTTCTAATGCCATAGTAAGATAACTTGTTTTATATTGCAAGAAGTGATAACATTTTTTATTTATTTTATGGTTAGTACCTAGAACCACCAACAAAACCAGAGCTCCATGGTGCACACTGCACATAGTAAGAGCTCTGAAGAACTTACAATCTAAATAGACAAAGCAGCACATGGAAGATGAAAAGTTTTATTATCCCCATCTCGCAGATGAAAACTGAGTCACCAAGGATCAGATGACTTGTGGTGAAGGTTCTGTGTAACCTTGGACAAGTCCATCCTGCCTCTCCATTTAAAAAAGTGTTTTATCACTTGAAGAAATACATTCAATACTGTTTAAACCAAGATAACCTTAGTTTCCTTATCTGTAAAATGATGTTAATAATCCTGCCTTAGCCACATGTTAGAGGTGCAGGGAGGATTGCTATTTGTAAACTGATGTGAAAGCCTCAGATGAAATGCCTTACAGAAGTGTAAAGGATTATTGGCTGGGACTGCAAAGCCCTACAGTTGACTGATACTTTTCAAGACATAGCAAGTGGAATGGGGAAGGGAGATGGTGCAAGAGAAGAAAGATGGCAAGGCAAATAGGAGGGGAATCCTGTTATGGGGGTGGAGGAATGGGCTCCACCTAAATGCCTTTTCCTATTAGGGAGAAAGGGGTTGTGTTGATGCTAGGACTTGGTGAAGGATTGCTCTGAGGAGTATCTAGCTTTCTGTGATATTTGTCACCTGAATCTCAGCTCTGGAATGGAAATCAAAGAACTCTCGTTACACTCACTACAGTCTCTTGCTCATCAGCTGGCCTTTTCCTTGGCACAAAGTACTCACCAGACTCAGGGAGGCTCACAAACTCTGAGGCCTCACTAGGTAAGCTAATTCCCCAGGGATTGCTGGCGCTGACTCTGAACTGATACCGACAGCCTGGAACGAGATCTTCAATGACGAGATAGGTATCCAAAGTGGAGGCCACTGACTGCTGCCAAACCTGGGATCCTGAATTTGAGAGAGAGAGAGAGAGCTAGCTAGCTGAAGAAAATAGTTTGATTTAGTTCATAAGTAGAATACCAGTTCTTAAAGCTACCTAGCTCTATTAGTCACCTTTTATAGATTATAGAGCAGAATGATAAGACCAATTCATAAAGAAATCAATGTGTTAATGAAGCATACTTAGCAAGAGAATTGTGTGCATGTTTGTACAGAGAATTCTCTTACTGGGGATGCTTCAGCGCGCACCCCCCCCCCCCCCAAATTATATGATAATAACTATAACACCAGCTCCAGGACATGTGTATGTGAGACAATGAATGCATATGTTGATTTCAATACTGTATTTGCAATAAGCATGGCATATTGCCTTTTCTACCTGTAAAAGATCCAATGTGCATCTTATAAACATAACATACAGAGGTGAATTACTAGGACTGATGACTTTCAGACCGGTGTGAAGACTTGTAGAAGCTGGGACCCTGCGCTCTTGTAAACCTGTGGTGTCCAACCAATTCTGAAGCTGTAGCCACTAGAGTGGCTACTGTTATAGCGAACTAGCCACACACAACCAGACAAATAGCCACATTTTTCAGACCAATTAGCCACACTCAACTGGCCAAATAGCCACATGTAGCTAGTGGCTAGTGTGTTGGACACCACAGTTGTAAATCTGTTCATGGCTGATGTGATCAATGACGTCTGTCTGATTCCCAAAAACCATGGTTACAGAAATATCTAGTGGAGAAATGGAACTACAAGTACTCTAGAAAGACCAGACTCTAAAGCTCATGCATAAATCACTCTGCAATTTGAGCTCTTGGAGGAAGTGCCAGGAATGAAGTAGCCTCAACTCAAGAAGACTAGTGTGTACCTCATTTCAATGTTTGGTACAACATAGTGCTGTGAAACTCCATGATGACATTTGTAAAAACAGAAACATTATGCTGTCCTTACAAATCAACATCTGACCAAGTCCCTCTGCACTGCTTTAACAACAACCACATTTCCAAAGACTTACGACCAGGATGGAGACCCACAAAGCCTCTAGCTCTAGCAATAATTAGCCATGATAGAGTAAGTAGAATGTTAATATTAAAAAAATGCATGTCAAAGGTTGTTTATGTCTTGCAGCTCTCAAACTTCTAAAGATTATAGTACCTGGCTCAAGGGTCAGTATGTTTGGCCACCCTGGTCATACATAGGAAGTCAGATTAGATGATCTCATGGGCCCTTCTTGTCATCTAGGTGATGACAAGTGGAATTCTGGTGTTTTCTTTTTTTAGCCTGTCTTGAAGTAGTTCATGTCTGGGTAGTCTTTCGGCTCTGTCAATCTGTTTTTTCACTTCTCCAGGTGGGTATTTCAGTTTTAATAATGCTCTGTATAGCTCCTGTAGGTGTTTGTCTCTGTGGGATTGGAGCAAATCTGGTTGTATTTTAGGGCTTGGCTGTATACAATAGATTGAGAAATGTGTCTGGGATGGAAGCTAGAGGATTGAGGGTAAGTATAGTGGTCGGTAGGTTTCTGGTATAGGGTGGTAGAAATTTGTCCATCATTTAATTGTACTGTGTTCCTGCCATCACCTACAGCCCACAACTTAAACCCCTCCAACACATCATCAACAATCTACAACTTATCCTGACCCCTCACTCTCAAGCCTTGGGGGAAAGGCCAGTCCTCGCCTACAGACAGTCCCCTAACCTCAAACAAATTTTTCCAGTAACCACATAACACATCTCCATCATAATCATCTAGGAACCCATCCCTGCAATCAGCCCTGGTGCCAACTCTGCCCAGACATCTACACAAGCAATTTCATCACTGGACCCAACAACATCAGCCACTACAACAGGGGCTCATTTAACTGCACATCCACTAATGAAATCTACAGCATCAAATGCCAGCAGTGCCCCACTGCCATGTATATTGGCCAAACTGGACAGTCTCTACGGGAAAGAATTAATGGACGCAAATCAGCTATCCGAAAAGGCAACACACAGAAACCTGTCGGAGAGCACTGTAATCTGCCCGGGCACTCATTAATGGATATCCACGTTACCCTGTTGTTTCAGACCAATTCCATAAGCCTAATAGCACTGTAATCTGCCCGGGCACTCATTAATGGATATCCACGTTACCCTGTTGTTTCAGACCAATTCCATAAGCCTAATACACAGGAAAGGGTTGGAACTTAAGAATTAAACTTGTAAATGAAGTTATCAGAATAGAATGAAAATCCTAATAACTTAACCCACCAACCAAACAATGGAGGTGCTAATTGTTCTTATCAGCCTTTTGTAACTTGAGCAATCTATTCACTGTCTTTTTTTCTCCCTTTTTCCCCCTCCTTATCCCCCTCCCCCCTTCCCTTATTTATTCTTGGATCTGGACTTTTAATTCTCCAGACATAGGAAGAAGTGGGTTTTGCCCACGAAAGCTCATGATACCATCTACATGTTTTGCTAATCTTTGATGCGCTACTAGACTATTCATTGTTTTTTAAGTTTTTCCAGTTATAGACTAACTTGGCTACTTCACTGAAGGTGTAAAACTGACACTTTCAAGTCATTTTCACAGTACTGCCACCCCCAAATGTTAAATCATGAATCAGGCTCACCGAAATTCTTGAGATTATCTTTAAAATCACGAGATTATGTAAAAATAATAGATTTGGTATTCTTTTTATTTGCCTTCTGTTTTTTGAGCCTTTATGGTGCATTGAGGTCTTATTTTGAAGCTTTTTCCAGAGCCACAATGGCTAAAAACTTCATTTTGTCTTCTAAAATGATAGCTGAAATCATCATAAAGCTCCAACCTCAGCATCAAGTGAATATAAGGAAAACAATAATCAGCCTGAGACTCATGACAAAAAAATTAAACAGAGCCTTCACTTCTGTTTTAAGGCTTATTCGTTTCCAGAAGGCTGTTACCACAACACTATAGTAATTGAGTTGCAGTTCTCATAGGAGAGTATATAATACCAAAAAATATATAGATTTTAAAACTGAGGAAAAAATTGAGAATTCTGGGGTCTCTCAGGACCTCTGCAGGGCAGGAAAGAAAAAAACCACAGGCATAGGAGCTCTGGGTACCTCTTTGTTTTGAAAGAAAGTTGGAGGCCCAAATGTTCTGTTCTTTCATCAAGAACAACTTCTATTGCCATCAGTACCTCCACTTCCAGATACTAAAAGTGCTCAATAACTATACACTTCATACTTAAATATCTGAGCCATTTTATCTAGAGCTACATGCATGCCTCAGGGACTACATTTTCTGGCATATTCTGAACATCTCTGGAATTTGCCTGGATACCCTAAGAATCTGAGGCATAAACACCTGATACTCATCTGGCACTCTCTCATTTCTTCCTGTCCCTCAAACTCAGAACCAAAAAACCAACAAAACAAAATGGTTTTCAGTTAAAATATAAAATTGTACAGCAGCCATTGTTCTACAATTCAGCATGGGGCAGATCTTGCCACCCCTCAGAGTTAAGTGATCTCTCATTCTCTTTCTTCTTTCTTGATCTCTTTGGTGCTTTTCATGCTTTCATCCATGACATCCTTCCCAACTGCCTGGGACCATTTGCTGAAGTCTCAGGGAACTAACCTTCTTGGTTTTGCTCCCATCTGTCAGAGTCCTCCCCATCCAAGCATGCAGCAGGGAGAGAGAGGCTGGTCTGGGTTCTACTCCCCTCCCATGGGATTCCCGTGTGATCTTAGGTTGGTGTCTTAGGGACAGAGTTAAACATTTTTTAGGCAGCCAGAGATGCAGCTTGGCATTTAGTGGGTTTACAAAACACCTAACCTTCTAGGCCTACATACCTTTGAAAATCTGGCCGTCGGTCTCTCTGAGCCTCAAGGTCCTATCTATACAACAAGGGCCATTCCTAGAGGGGTGCAGGGCCCAGGACAACCCTAGGCTCTGCCCTTCCTGTTGCTCCCCTCCACCCATTCCCTCATGCCCTGCCGTAAAGGCTAGTGTTTCCCTACCTTCTTCTCTGTACTCTACGGTGTAGCCCGAAATGGTGCAATTGCCTGTACTGGATGGGGGCAGCCAGCGAAGGATCACTGAGGTGCTGCTTCTTTCCTGAGCGATGGGACGATTTGGGGCTGCTGGAACACCTTGAAAAGAAAAACCAGGAGCATATCAGCTATTGTTAGTACCAGGGCCAATCCTGGGGGTGGAGGTAGGGGGGCCTGAAGCCCTTCCTCACACCAGACCCCACCCCTGCTCCCATCACTTCCCCCACTTCTGCCTCCACTCTGCCCCCCCTCCCTTTGCACCCCTTCCCTCAAGGCCATCCCCCAAGCGATGTGGGCTGAGGGATTAGCAGGTGCCTGAACCCAGCAGCAGG